TTATCTGAAGAGAACCCATTAGTTGCCTTAAGAAGCATTTCGTAAGAAACTTTTGGCAGTGGTTCCTTCAATGACAATTCCGAAGATTGCTCTTTTCTTTTCCTTCTCGACAGGTAAAGCAGAACAAATGACACAACAGCTACCCCAAGAAAACCACATGCTATTGTTAATAGCAATATGAGCCAAAGAGGTATTTTCCATTTCTTGGACTTTTTGAAGTTACATTTAGGCAACTTAAGTTCAGATATGCCTCCACAAAGCTTCTTATTTCCATCAACTAATATAGCAGTAGCATTTCCAAAAGCTCCTTTTGTTGGAACCTCACCCTCGAAATCATTGAACGATAAGTTCAATGTCAACAAGGCAAAGGTATCCAAGAACTTTGGTATTTGGCCAGACAGATTATTGTGAGATAGATCAAGCTTTTGAATACCTCTGAATGTACTAAAAGATGATGGAATGGATCCTTGAAAGAAGTTGTGCTGCATGTATAGATATTCGAGGCTTGTGCAGCTAGCAAGTGTACTTGGAATTTCCCCAGAAAACTCATTATAAGAAACATTCAGTTTCGCTAAGCTTTTCAGACTACCAATTTCTGAAGGTAAGGATCCATTAAAATAGTTTTGAGAGAGGTCTAGTGAAATCGATAGGGATGAGATAGCGAAAAGTTCTTTAGGAGGATTGCCACTAAGATTATTTCTAGAAAGATGTAACAGCAACAACTTTTGACAATTGCCAATACTTGAAGGTATGGTTCCCTGCAATTGATTTCTTTGCAAGTCAAATTCAAGCAACAAAGTTAAGTTTCCTATGGAGGAAGGGATATGACCTGAGAGCCTGTTGTAAGATAGAGAAAATCGTTGCAACATCCTAAGTTTACCAATCTCAAGAGGTATAGGACCACTAAGCTGATTAAATTCCAAACCTAGGGTGTTTAAGTTGATAAGATTACCTATCCCAGAATGGATGCCTCCAAATAGTTGATTTTGTCCCAAGCCTAGAAAGGTGAGCCCAGTTGACAGATTGCCTAAAGAATTAGGCAACATCCCTTCAAAATGGTTACCAACTAGATCAATTGCATACAAACTGGTGCAATTGATCAGAGAATCGAGAAAACTTAATTCACCAGGCTCCCCACTTTCCATCTTGTTGAAGCTCAATGAAACTACAGCCAGATGCTTTAGGCCTCCAAAATTTACTGACAATTTTCCAGAGAAGCTGTTATCTCCTGCTTCCAAAACTTGCAGATTTGAAGAATTGGATATGGACAGTGGAATCGATCCAGAAAATTGGTTTGCTCGAATTTGGATATATTGTAGGTTTGGCAAAGAGAGGCCTATATCTGATGGAAGATATCCTTGAAGTTGATTTTCAGACAAGGACAAAATGCTGAGGGTAGACAAATTATACAAGGGTAGTGGGATGGTACCTGAAAGAAAATTTGTACCGAGTCCAAGAGATTCCAAGTTCTTTAGTTGACCCAAGGTGTCTGGAATCCTTCCTTGAAAATTATTAGCAGCTGCTGATATGCTGTTAAGAGAGGTAAGGTTCCCAATGAAAGGAGGTATTGCTCCTGACAAATTGTTCTTGTGAATAACGAGTTTCTCTAACTTCGACAAAGACACAAGCTCTGCAGGAATTTTTCCCACAAGGTTATTTGAAGCCAAACCAAGATAGTCGAGCTTAGAGCAGTGTGACAGGTTGCCAGGTATCTCCCCAACAAAAGAATTATTGCTTAAGACAAGAATCTGCAGCCTGAAGAGTCTACCAAGTCCATCGGGGATTTTACCTTGGAGGGTATTGTTTGACAGATCAAGTCCCCATAAGAAGCTGAGATTTCCCAAAGCAGGTGATATAGAACCCACCAAGCCACTGGAGTCTAACTTTAAGACAGTAACTCTCTCATGTCTGCAGCCGCACCTAACGCCCTGCCACCGGCAAAAATGGAGAGAATCGTTCCATGAACCAAAGATGTTTTGAGGATCATGGATTATCTTGGACTTGAAGTCAAGCAGGGCAAGCCTGTCTGTGAAATTACTAAAGGTGGTGGCTGAGACACTTGTAATTCTTAAAGGGGTGAAATTTAGTAGTATAGCACTCAAGAGAAACAAAGCTTGGAAGTGGAAAAAACCTAATCCCATCCTACGCAATACAATTTTTTAGTGCAAATATTGCCTTTATTCATCATTATCCCTATGTTATACTCCGGTGGAGAGATACCCTTTATGATTCAAAATTCCATGAGAACATGAAAACAAATTGATGATTGGTGCCCTGGATGCCCCGAAAAGTCCTCAGGTTTACAGTAGGTGAATGCCACCAATTTTAGGTCACCGACGAAAGTGACGAGCTTGAGTCTTTCATTCTTGGCTGGTTGTGTTGATTTGTTTGAAAAGTACAATAATTGAAGGAATCTCAGTTACCACCTTGATGGATGAGACTAGACAGGTGATACGCGCCATGGTTGCCCATATTTTTTTCACATTAAAAAAAAAATTCTAAGGCAACGCAAGCTTCCCCAAATAAATAAATAAAAATTAAAACTCAACTTATTAACTGGACTGAATTTAATAAATTCATATACTTTAGATAACACAAATAAATAAATAAAATTACAATAAATAAACCGATAAAAAATTATTAAGGAAAAAAAAAAGTAAAAAATCCGATTCGAGCCCATTCAAATTAGCATGCTAAATTTGTAAACAAGTTATGATATTAGGATAGTCCCATTAAAAGCAAGTTGAATAAAACAATGAAGCATAATATGAAACAACTCAATATCAAAAGATGGAATTGAAATAAAAAAAAAATAAAATAAAGATCTAAGTTAACTCGGGTTACTAGATAACCCTGCGACCATAGACATAGGATTGAGATAGCGTCGCAGACAAGAAAGTGAAAAAAATACGAGAAAATCATTTTTAATAAATCAAATGTTGAAAGATGAGAATGAAAAAATTCAAATTTAAAAAGAACTTAAAAAAACGAAGTCAATCTGTATTAATATTCAAAATCCATCACCCTTGTCATGAGCTGGAGACTAATGTCATAGAAGGAAAACTCTAAAAAAATAAAGTAAAATTCTCAATCACAAAATACTAAGGGATGAAATTAGAGGGAAAAACTCTAAAAAAATAAAGTAAAATTCTCAATCACAAAATACAAAGGGATGAAATTGGAGGGAAAAGGCGATCAAAAAAGGATCTAAAACAAAATAAATAGAAAATAAAAGAATTGAGACCAAATTCGATATAAAAATACATGAAAAAAAAATATTAAGAGATGAAATTGAAAATAAAATTCAATTAAAAAAATAAAAATAAATAGCAATTAGATGCATGAGAATCAAATTTGATATAAAAATTCAATAAAAACAATTGATGAGGGACTAAATTAAATAAAAAATTAATCAAAAAAAGAGTAAAATAAAATCACATGGCAATAAAAAAATGAGAGCCAAATTGGATATGAAAAACAAATTAAAAGACCAAATTAAGACAATAAAAAAATGATTCAAAATAAAAACAAATAATAATTAAAAGAATAAGGACCAAATTCAATATAAAAATAAATCAAAATAAAATGCTAGGAAATGAAATTGAAAACAAAATTCAATTAGGAAAAGGATAAAAAAATAATAATTAAAAAAATAAAAATTAAATTTAATAAAAAAATATAATAAAACCAAATGATGGACTAAAATGAAGAAAATAATTAATAAAAAAATCAAATAACAATAAAAAAAATAATAACCAAATCATATATAAAAAATAAATCAAAAGACATTTTTTTTTTCTAAGAAGAAGAAAAAAAATAAAAAAGAAAAGAAAGTTAATTAAAGCAACACTGTCAGTTTCCACAAACAAGCGCTCTGCCACCATGAAGGTCTCAGGGTGCCACTCTTAATGCTTCTATGAAAAGCAATGTTTGGCCGCTGGAGAAGCCACACACATTGTCTGAAAAGCACTAGCTTCTTTGATTTTCTTTTACAGTTTTATAATTCTATAATGAGCAGTTAGGAATAACTAGCTTTTTTTTTTTTTCTATTTGTTTTAACGGGCTCAAAGTCCAAACCCATAAGATATTTTTCATAGGATTAAAACTAAAACTTAAACACAAAAGATCATAATCGAATGCTCAAGTAAAATATTGTGACTTGCACTTTCATTCACAAAGATTGAAACCTACAATCATTAACAAGAGTAGATTACAATGTTAAACTTCAAGTCTTTTTTATAAGGAAATAATCTAACTCTTTCAGGTAAAGTGCAATCAAAACAGAAAAGAGAATAACCAAAAAGTAAGCTCAAAGTTATAAGACTATGATTACGTTCATAATTTTTCAATTATTGCCGCAAGTTGTCAAGGTGATCGGAAAATCCTGTTCATAGAAAAATATGGAATTGTGGGAGGTCTGGTGTGCTGGATGCGTTCAAGCCAAGGGTGGTGGCATGGATTGTTTAGCAAGTTTGTCTTAGATGGAAAAGAGATGATATATAGGATCATTTTAAATTAAGATTTTAGTGCAGAGACACGCTAGGAGCATCTCTCGCCCACTTGTGTATGATTATCCAGTTTACAGGAGGTCCTGGGCTTTTTTTTAGGCGTGGATACAAAGTGTTTCAATGTATTTAAGAGCTAACTGTTCAAAAGTACTTCTTGGGTATACGAATTTAGTTTCAAAAGTTAAATTATTCCTTAAAAAGAACTTGAGTTACAATAAATCTAACACCTAAGACTAAATCCAATATCACAGTTGGAGAAATAAAGCTCAATATATTGACCAATAGAGCCAACAAGATGTATTATCATTAAAAAAAAATTATACTTGATATATAACCTTTATCAAGTGCTCCATCTAGTTAGAGATTTGCTTTGGTTGATATGGTTGCCGAATGCTTGTGGGAGTTGTCACTGGTTACATGTTGTTTTGGAGAACAAAGCGATGCAGTGGATGGATTGAACATCTTCTTAATGCAAATAAACTTCATCAGTTTCTTATTCATTAGAGTTGTTTGGTGATCACATTACCAAGGTTCTGCTATTAAGATTTACTACAAGAACGGAGATTTACAGGACACTTGGCGCAGACAACAGGGACAAAAAATCTAACTAAACATATGAAGTTTCAATCCCTCGCGAATCCTTTAGAAACTTTGCTTTGATCTTTTTGAGAGTAGTGAGAGCATCTTCGATATCTATCCTCTCCTCAGGCTGTTCTGCAGAACATTGCAGGGCCAATTCCAAAATGGATGATAGACAGTCTTTGTTAGCAGCAGGATATTTTCCATGATCTTTCAAGTTAGCATCTGCAATTTGAGTTACTGCACCAGGTAATGAATCTTTGACCCAAAGTTTCAAGTTCGTTGTTCCAGTAAACATTTCATCGGTGGGCTTTCTTCTAGTAAAAGTTTCCATCAGCAGAATACCGTAGCTATATACATCGCCCTTGACAGAAACAATCCCTTCGGATCCATACTCTACATGCAAATTATATTTAGTCATTAGTATGAATGAAAAGGGGGAAATAGGGAGAAGAAGAATGTGTGATTTAGTCATTACATCTTAACTTCCTTTTTTGTGTAAGTTCTGATGAAACAACAAAATTGGAGCATTACCTGGTGCCATGTAACCAACAGTGGCTAGTGTCATTGTTTGTGTGATGGAGTGCCCTTCGCCAAGGAGTTTAGCAATGCCAAAATCACTCACATGAGCGACCATATTCTCATCAAGCAGGATATTGCTAGGCTTTAAATCACAGTGGACCACGAGTGTTGCATTGCCATGATGAAGGTATTCAAGTGCAGACGCAACATCAATCATAATGTTCAACCTCTGTAGGAGATCCAAGAAAAAGTTGTGGGAATACAGCCACTTTTCAAGGCTCCAGTTAGGCATGAACTCAAGCACCAAGGCTTTGAAGTCAATGTTGCAGCAACTTGTGATGATTTTCACAAGATTTCGATGGCGGATGCTGCGCAACACCTCACACTCAACATCAAAACTCTTGAATGCTCCCTCTAGCTGCGAATGAAAAACCTTTACTGCAACGTTCGTTCCATCTGAGAACAACCCCTTGTAAACTGAGCCAAAGCTCCCCGTACCTAGCAAGTTGACCTCGTCAAATCCATCGGTTGCTCTCTCAAGCTCTTGAAATGAAACCCTTCTCCATGTTGCTAAATCTGAAAAATTTCCTTGTTTTTGCTTCTCATTTCTTCTGCCACGCATCACGTAGAGGACAGTAAAGGCCGTAGCCATTACTACAGCTCCTAGCGCTGGTAAAATATACTTAAATACATTTGCAGTTGCTTTCTTCGATTGATGACGACCTCTAGTCTTACATGGTTGGACTTGCATCTGAGGAGAACCACACAATGCTTCATTCCCCAAAAATGATCGAGCTGAGAACTTTTTAAATGGTCCTCCACCAGGTATTTCCCCTTGAAGTCCATTGAAAGACACATTGAAATATTTAAGATATGCAAGTTTCTCCATGTCCTCAGGAATTTCTCCTGAGAGATTATTTCTTGATAAATCTAAGAATTCCAAGCTTACCATGTCACCAAATGATCGAGAAATAGGCCCCTGCAATCTATTATTGGACAAAGAGAGATAAGCTAGATCATTGAGGTCCCCGATGCTAGATGGGATTTCACCTGATAATTGATTTCCTGATATATCTAAATGCCTTACAACCTTCAGATTGCTGATATCTAGTGGGAGAGAGCCGCTTAAGAAATTTGATGATAACTGTAGTTGCTGGATATCTTTTAGTCTCCATAAGGTCGAAGGTATTGTGGATGAAAGATTGTTGGCGCCCATTGATAACTCTCTACTTAAAGAATTTGATGATAACTGTAGTAGCTGGATATCTTTTACTCTCCATAAGGTCGAAGGTATTGTGGATGTAAGATTGTTGGCGCCCATTGATAACTCTCTTAGAGAACTGACATTGCCTAAACATGAAGGGATTGATCCAACTAGCTTATTCTCCCCAAGATATAAGAAAGCCAAACTCTCTACATCACACAAATCAGATGGGGTGGACCCTTCTAAATTATTTCCTGAAAATGATAAAGATTGGAGCTTCCTTAATCTTCCAATTGTAGTTGGAATGGTTCCCTTTAGATCATTGTCTTGTAGACTCAAATGTACCAAATTACTCAAGTTGCCAATTCCTTCGGGTATACTGCCTTTAATCTGGCAGCTATCAGCAACAAAGTTTTCGAGGGAAGAAGAGAAGTTTCCTACAGAAATCGGGAGAGTGCCCTTCAATGGATTAAGGCTCAGGAATACTAGTCTCAAATTCTTGGAATTTGTCAAAGACGTTAAGAAATTCAACTCTGAAGATAGAGAGTTGCTGGTAAAATTATTATTCCCCAGATTGAGATATCTTAGGTTCCTTGAATTATCGCCAAATGCATCAGGAATAGGACCAAAGAAAAAGTTTGAACTCAATTCCAGAGTAAGGAGTTCAGAAGCGTTGGAGAGAGAGACAGGGAATGGACCACTGAGTTCGTTTCCTGCTACGATAAGTCGCTCAAGATTTGGAAGCTGGAGACCTATGCTTGATGGAAGATGGCCTGAGAGATAATTTCCCGTCATTTCGATAGATCTCAATGTTGAGATGTTAAAGATTCTGACGGGAATAGGGCCACCAATCCTGTTAATTGACAATGAGATTATCTCTAGATTCACTAGGTTACCAATCTCCGGTGGAATTGTTCCTGCCACAGTTAAAACGCTTGTAATCATAGGTCACCTGAAGTTTTACTATTTTAATGGTGAAAAGTGGTGTTAACAAAAAACAGAAAGAAGGGTACCATACCTGTGAGGTTGTTATCCATTAGGCCAATATTCCGTAGAAGGGTCAGATTTCCAATAGCAGAGGGAATTGGACCAGTTAGGCCACTATTTTCTAGGTTAAGTAACTCCAAACTGAGAACATCGCTGATGGATGACAGCATTTCTGCATCTGCAACATAAAACGTCTACTTAGACCTCTACATCTACAAAGCAGAAGTAACATATAAATATTTATGCTTTTCTTCTCGGTTAGTTTGGTGGTGAGGTTAAAGAGCAGAATAAAGACTCATAGATTGAATGTCCAAAATACTTTGCGATGAAAAAGCTAAAATATCTCCATTTGGTAACATTTACAAACAAATAACTAAAGTTCAGCTGTTCAAAAGTGCTGGACAAAGAATAGATTCTGATTAAAGTGCTGTTCATATCATTTCTATTGCAAGGCCAATAGAGGAGACTCACCATTAAATTTGTTGTAGCCGAGATATAACTGTTCAAGCACTGTTAAATTTCTGATATCTTTGTGTATCTTTCCTTCAAAATTGTTATAAGACAAAGAGAGAATTTTCAGTTGTGTGCATCCAAATAAAGCTGCAGGAATTTGGCCATGAAATAGGTTCCTACTCAAGTGCTTGTGGCTGACGGTTGAAGGCGACGACACGGGGAAGCGGTGGCAGATGGAGATCTGTTGATGCCACGGAGAGGACAACACTGATTAAGGTGCTGCCACCGACGAGGATTTACTACTGTTAGCGTAGGCGACCTGTTGTGGCAGGGGGGGCGCTGTTGATCTCAGTGGTTGTACAGTTGTGTGCATCCAAATAAAGCTGCAGGAATTTGGCCATGAAATAGGTTCCTACTCAAGTACAATCCTTCCAGATTGGGAAGATTGTTGAACAAATTTGATGGCAGGCTACTAGTTAGATTATTGAAACCAAAGTCAATAATCCGAAGTGAGGACATGGTGACATTAGCTGAGGGAAAGGAACCTGAGAGCATGTTTCCAGTAAGATCAATGACCTGCAATGACGAAATGTTGAAGACTGCGGAGGGGATGGAACCTGAAAGGCCAGTATGACTCAAATACAGTATCCTCAACTTGGGAAGCTTGCCAATCTCTCTTGGAATGTGCCCTTGAAGATCATTGTTGGACAAGTCCAAGCCATCTAGCTCTGAGAGGTGGAACAATGACGGTGGAATCGCACCAGTGAAACTGTTATTAGCTAGAGACAACGTGTGGAGCCTAGTAAAGGACCCAAGCCATGATGGGATCTCCCCGCCGAAGTAGTTCTTTTCAGACAACGTGTGGAGCCTAGCAAAGGACCCAAGCCATGATGGGATGATGCGGAACAACAAACAAAAGAATTAAAATCAGGAAAAGAAAAAAGCTTTTAAAGGAGAAGTTGAGAAGAGAAAGCAAAGAAGAAGAAGAAAGGGGATTGGAGATATGCAAAATCTGCAAATTTTCATTAATCATCAAAAACTAACTCTCACAATGACAAGAGAGCATATAAATAGTAAATTCTAAAACATCCAACTAATGGGCTCGGCCCAAACTGTTTAACATAAATAATAAGATAACAATGAACAGGCCCAAATAGGCTAAATAAATAAAATAACAATGCAATAGGCCCAAATGGGCTTAGTCTCCCAACCACAGCGTGACAGGCTGGGCCATCCTACGCCGTCTTCGTCCATATACTCGTATAGTTTGTGGTGTGGGTCTGGTGTCCCCATCAACTCTCCCGGGGTTAGAGAAACTCGACCCTGTCGAGTGTAGTACTGGCCGACTCTGATAGTATTCCCAAAGATCTGGATCAAGCTGCTGTAAAGTATCTCTAGTAATCCAAGTGCAATCTGAGTCAGGTCGACCCACCCAACGCACTAGAAACCGTTGAACCTCACCATTCCTGTTAAAAACAACTTGTTCATCCAGAATAGCATCAATATTATCCTTTTGTGCTGATGTCAAGGTGAAAGGGATAGAAGTTTCAATAGGATCATCAGAAGAGGAGTTAAGTGGTATCTCAAATGGATCATCTGGAATAGGAAGTGGTTTGTGGTATGCAACTAGATCCTCAATATTAAATGTAGAGCTAATGCCAAAATCATGTGGTAAATCAAGAACATAAGCGTTTGGACCTACCCGTTGTAGCACTTTGAAAGGTCCGGCACTACGTGCATGTAATTTTCGATTAGCTCCCGAAGGAAACCGCTCGGGTCTAATCCGTATCATAACATAATCTCCCACTTGAAACTCATTATGTCGTCTATGTAAATCAGCTTGAAGTTTATATTGCACATTACTTGCTTGAATCTGTTTAGTGATCTCAATATGCAAATCCTGAATTCTACGTGCAAAAGACTCGGCTGACTCAGACACTCTAGCATGAAGGGACATGGGAAGAAGGTCTAAAGGTTTCCTAGGCTTGTAACCATGTACAACTTCGAAAGGACTCATGCCTATTGACCTATTGATAGAGCTATTATAGGCAAATTGGGCCGTAGGAAGAATTAGATCCCAATTCCGATTATGATCACTTACTAGACACCTCAAAAGGTTGCCCAAACTCCTGTTAACCACCTCAGTTTGACCATCAGTTTGGGGGTGGTAAGCAGTAGAAAACTTCAATTTGGTTCCCACCATATGCCAAAGGGTTTTCCAGAAATAACTTGTGAATCTAACATCCCTATCCGAAACTATGGTTTGAGGAAGACCATACAACTTGACAATCTCATCAAAATAGAGTTTTGCAACTTTGGAAGCATCTGTGGTTTTAGTACAAGGAATAAAATGGGCCATCTTAGAGAAGCGGTCGACAACCACAAAAATAGAATCATGTTTCTTTGTAGTACGTGGAAGCCCAAGCACAAAATCCATGCTCACATCTTGCCAAGGGCAAGTAGGAACGGGCAGTGGGGTGTAAAGACCAGTATTTTGTTTTTTATGTTTAGCTAGTTGGCAAGTTCGGCATTGACCTACCAATTTAGCGACATCTCTTTTCAAACTAGACCAAAAAAACTGGCGTTCCACTTCTTCGATGGTTTTATTCCTTCCAAAATGTCCTGAGAGACCTCCAGCATGAATCTCCCATATCAAAAAATCACGCACAGATGTTTTTGGGATACAAAGCTTATTATCCCGAAATAAGTATCCATCTTGGAGGTGATAACCATTTAAAACACGGTGATTCTCATCCTTCAATGTCAAGTATATTTCTCCAAATTCTGAGCAAGATTCATACTCCTCTTTAAGTCTCTCAAATCCTGTGATTTCAACACTCATTACAGATAACAGCGTTACCCGACGACTCAAAGCATCTGCAGCTTTATTCTCTATTCCAGATTTATGTTTCAAAACAAATGAGTATGCTTGCAAATATTCAACCCAATGACCATGCCTATGATTAAGCTTCTTTTGGGAGTTAAGATAGCGGAGGGCTTCATGGTCAGAGTAAAGAACAAATTCCTGTGGTAACAAGTAATGACGCCAATAACGCAAGGCCTGAACCACCGCATAAAACTCTTTATCATAAGTTGAGTACTTTTGTTTGGCCTCATTAAGTTTCTCACTAAAATAGGCCACAGGGTGACGTTCTTGACTAAGTACTCCACCTATACCGACTCCCGAAGCATCACATTCTACTTCAAAGACTTTAGTAAAATCAGGTAGCCGCATTACTGGAGCCTCCGTCATTTTCTTCTTAACTTCTTAACCTCCTCAAATGCCATATTAGCTCCTTTACTCCACCTAAACTCACCTTGTTTCAAACAATCTGTAATAGGCGACATGATGGTGCTAAATCCCTTAATAAAACGACGATAGAAAGTCGCAAGCCCATGAAAACTACGAACCTCATGAATAGTCTTAGGTTCAGGCCAATCTACTATCGCTTGGACTTTCTGGGGGTCAGCAGAGACTCCGTTCCGTGACACTATAAACCCTAAAAAGACCACTTGATCTGTAAAGAAGGAACACTTTTTGACATTTGCAAACAAACTTGCCTTTCTTAGAGTGGTACAAACTTGAATAAGATGATCAAAATGCTCTTTCTTGGTTTTGCTATAAATAAGAATATCATCAAAGTATACCACCAAGAATTTTCCCATAAATGGTCGAAGCACTTGTGTCATTACTCTCATAAAAGTGCTTGGTGCATTGGAAAGGCCAAAAGGCATGACTAACCATTCATATAAACCATCCTTAGTCTTAAATGCTGTTTTCCACTCATCTCCCGGACGGATCCTAATCTGATGATATCCACTCTTCAAGTCAATCTTAGAGAAGATCTGGGCTCCTGCCATCATATCTAGCATGTCATCCAATCGAGGAATTGGAAAACGATACTTGATTGAAATCCTATTAATGGCTCGACTATCAACACACATTCTCCATGATCCATCTTTCTTGGGTGTTAACAGTGCAGGTACTGCACAAGGGCTCAAACTCTCTCGTATAAATCCCTTTTGTAACAACTCACATACTTGCCTTTGCAATTCAGCATGTTCACTCGGGTTCATCCTATAATGAGGCAAGTTTGGTAATGTAGCTCCAGGGACAAAATCTATGGCATGTTGAACATCACGCATAGGGGGTAAAACATCAGGTAGTTCAGAAGGGAAAACATCTAGAAATTCTCTCAACACTTCTCTTACTTCTTCGGGTGGCTCCTCTAAAAAG